GCGCAATAAATGAAACTTATTGTTTTTCTTAAATTTCTTCGTGTTTTTTTGTATTTATTTATTTTGCTGTATATATATATATATATATATATATATATTGTCACATACATCAGGGGCCTAAGGGTCACCTTTCTTGTTAATTTACATGTTTTGATTAATTATTAATTAAGACAGTAATGACACAATAAATAAATGCAACATAACTCCTTTGTATTTTTTTTTTATTTTTCCATTGCAGAAAATCTTGGGAAACAAGGTTACAAAAACAGTGGATAAACATAAATTTACCATTTATACTATCAATAAAGCTAGAAAGAAACTTCATAAATACAAGAAAATTGCACTCTTATGTTACATTAAATAATGTTCAACAATACACCTAAAAGTGTACAGAAACATTCAGTGCATTTAACTGGAATACCAGTCGGGCACCCATGATTATCTTCGTTATTTGAGGCTTTTAGAGATAACATAATTCACATTCAAATTGTTCATTATCAGTGCCTTTACATAATAGAACATTATTTTAACTTCATTCTTAAATTTGGTGTTAAACGATACATTAAACGATAAAATATCGATATATTTAAGAAAAAGAATACTTATCTCGAAAACAAATAATAAATCAAAATATTTATCTAGGAAAAATATGGTGCAATTTCTTATTTTTCCTTTAAGATGTTATCTACATGCGAAAATACAAGTAAAAAAAAATACAATTTTCTTAATCAAACTTATCGCATTGTTCCTATTAAATCTCTTTTTATTGAATTTATTTCTAATTTCGTGCATTCATGGCAAAGACATGATTTTTTCTCTAGTTATTATTATATAATATATATCATTAGCCACATAATAAATTTCAATTATTTTAAATATGCCTGATTAAATATTTTCCATATAAAGAAAACTTTTTTAAACAGTACTTTTTTTTATTTAGTCAACATTAAGTGAAAAATATTCATAGAATTGAAATCTAAAAATAGCCTTCAGCTATTTAATAACGGAACGAGTATTATTTTTTTTAAAAAAAATGTCGTTTAATATAAATAATTTACATTTTCAAAAAAAATATTAGGAAAATTTATTTAAAATTTTTTTAAAGATTTCCTTAAAAAGTATTGTTGCAAATAGCAGTAACTAAAAAAAACCATTTATAGGCATCTGATAATGTGAACATTGAATATCAGAAAGTAGACCATGCTCTAATACATCCTCAAAAAAGATTTGCTACATTATAACAAGTTATACGAAATAATAGCACATCTTTGGATCATTTTGTCCCTTTTTTGTTGCTTTGAAATTTCTGTAAATCATTGTTAGCGAAAACAAAAAGCACAGGCTCGTATTTTATTTCAACTTTGCATAGCAGAATCTTAATGAAACAGGGATAAAAAGTTAAATAAATATATTCCTTTATTTTTAGTGAAATAATTCTCAGAAAATAAAACGTTTTTGTTCAATATATTTACATTTGTAAAAAGTGTAATTTTTAATTTATAATTACATTTTTGTACACATTTGCTTGCACCTTATTAAAGGTATTATACTTTTTACACACTTTAAATATCATTAGATGTTTAAAATTTAGAATACCATTAGCACTGCACTCAATGTTTAATTTCAAACTTTTTCACTATGTACATAAGCTTTCGAGTTTTTGAAAAATCGCATTCAAATAATTGGGTCCTAATTAAAAGCGAAGAAAGCTTAACTTTAAATAAACCGATCAAATATGCATATTTTATGACTAGTTGGCAATTAGCTGATAATTTAGAAGAATTTTGTCAGTAATTTTTATAAAGTTTTATCTAAGTGAAAAAAGATAGTTAATGATGGTATTTTATCTTACCTTAACTTTTAGCGCCTTATCCTTTGCGACCCGGCCTTATATACTATTTACAACGCAGTGGTACTTACCTTCCAAAGAATCTCACAAAACCGGATACCAACCTCGTTAAATTTACTAAACCGGTTATGATTCCAAGTATCAACAACAGAAAAAGTTTTATTAAAAATTGTGTGCAGTGTTTTTACGTACATTTAAATATAAAGTTCTAAATGGATTTGCATTTTTCTATTGAAATGCAAATATCCACATATGCTTCTAAATTTGAAAGCATTATTAAATTAAAATAATTAATTTTTTGCAGCTTATCAGGACTGCTCAAACCTGTGCTCTTGTTTCCCGAGCTCAGTTGTGTGAGCGAATCGTCAATTGGAATCGACGGATCTTCTAACTTCACTGAAGTTCATCATTCGTTATATAAAGTTAGTAAAGAGTGCTTGTATATGTCTATACAAATCGTGAGAATTGCACGTAGGGCGTGCAATAATCTTTCACCGATTAACCGAAGTCTTCCTGATAATCCATTCTGATAGTCCTTTGAACGCATGTAGGTCTCCACTTTGACCCTTTCAAAGAGGCACTAAACACCCCGGTTTCGACCCACCCTCTGTTTAACAAAATGAGGGAAGTTTTTATGCGCTGATTGGACGACGTTGTGTCATATGACCAGGACTGGCATGTGGCCGGTCACCGGGTTAAAAAGATGCTGAGTGTTAGGATTATGGCAGTCACTAATAGAACCAGGTTATGTTTTAGTCTTGTCGTAGTGTTCAGCAGGTTGTCACATTCACCTAAGGAAAAGAAACCGTAATGCATTTCTCCATTTTTCATAGCATTTCTTTGTAATAAATATATCCTTATTTAATTACACCTATTAAAATATTTTAATTGTACTAACAACCTCCCATATTTTTATTTTTCTGAAGTTCTCAAAGTAATAAATATTTCCTTATTCAATTATACATATGACAACATTTTAATTGCACGAACTAATGTTAAGTACTCTTTCATATTATTATTTCTAACTGAAGTTCTCAAAGTATAGTTTTTATATAAATTATGGATCAAGGATAAATATGGATGGATGCCAATAACTCTTATGAACTTTGATAAAGGTAAATGAGTATTTTAAAAGTTTAAATAAGAATGAATACTTGTAAGCCTACTATGGATATTTTATATAGTATAAATTTAGAAATAATACAAACATATAAATATACTTATTAAAAAATTCATTTCAAGAATTCTAATATAACTTGCATTGTTATTTACAAAAGTTTATTTCATACATTTCGGTTTAATTTTATTCAGATCTCAAAAAGCCCGAAACTCATACTTTAAAAAGAAAATGTCTAATTCCTTAGATGTCAGTAAAATATATGCGATTTGTAACCCGGTTGTACAACAAAACTTCGAAACCTCAATTATTGCAAATCGCAATTAAATTCATATGAAGAATGATTTTTAAAACAAAACACCACAAATTATTAAAATGTTGCGTTTTAATAAAACTTCTTCGATCTGTCTGAATATTAAGCAATATCAAGTTAAATGTAAAATGTTATTTTTAGTAACTTACCTTTCAGTTCACCCTTACATCCAAAGAGAAATTTACTTTGAAGAAGCTTTTAGAAAGAGTTATAGATAAAATATTTACCAAGTCTTCATAGAACAAACCCAATTCTTCGAAACTAAAAGTCAAGGTCGAGCTATAGTGTCTTATGTCAATCCAAAGAGTTTTATTTTCTGATATGAATTAAATTGCGTACTGTATTGTAAGCATATTTTTTTTCAATATCACACTAATCTTTTAAAAAATAATATTTTTTGTTACTATATTTGTATATAATGCATTACAAAAAGGTATATAATACATTATAAAATGGCCATATTTTTGTAATGACCATTATATGAAAGACATTATAAAAAAAGATTTTAAAGTGAAATAAAATTATTTTTTCACGTAAGACGTATCTAAAATGACTTGACTTGATGTCAAAAATGCCTAATTTTTTCTTGTTATTGCATGTGGAGATAAAATTTTGTATTGCATATGAAAACAATATAAGTAAAACAAAAGTAAATTTTCAAAAGTAAATTTTCCAAAACTCAAAAAACATGGAGAGTATATGCACTGTTAGACTGTATTTGCAATTTATAATTTATGTTATTTGTAACCGAAGGGAACCATAATATTTTGCAATGGAACCATAATATTATACCATCGATACTATACTTGGAAGGTTCAGATAAGCACCATTTTAAGGTTGCAGTATATTTTCAGGAGCTGATGGTTCAAAGCTGAACCGTAAAATATGATCACAACTATCTTTTAAAGTCGACATGTTTCGCTCGTGAGAAAGGTTTTTTTCGAATTGATAATATGTTAAAAGAAATGCATCAAAATACATAAATTATGCTAAACAGTTAGTATAATTTCTACCTTAATGTTTAAGTACCATATCAATCTATCGAGAAATGTGCCTAGTTTGATTTTACTAGGTAAATGCATTTTTTGGCAAGATGCCAAGACATAAAAATTTGATATGTCTTTTGAATTAATAAATGATATTTCTGAAATAGTGCCTTAATACTATATTTATGAATGAGTGAAATGTAGTTTAAGCATAATATTCTTCAAATTTAATTTATATCTGTTCTCTTCTTATCCTTTTTAGCCATACATTAGTAATATTTGGCTACATGAAACAAAGGATTTTGTTCGTCCTTTGATGTGTCACACTTAGCCGTATGACAGATTTGACAAAAGGCACTTGAACAGAATATAGAGAGCGTGAGAAATTAACCCTCTTGAACACCTTAAATTGCTGCTGAACATCTTAAATCACGTCTTGAACACCTTAATTTACCTCAAACATACTAATAAATTAGTACTTGCGATATTTAAAACTGCAAAATTAGACACAAAAACGAATTTTCTCTAAATAAACAAACCATTTTTTAACTGATCAGGATTTCACCAAATATTAATATGTCCCAAAATATTAATTATAGCCGAAATCTAGGAAATATGGTCCAAAAAGTTTCCCTAGAGAATGGTCCACTCCTTACTGTTAATTTTAATTTTTGGGTGGGTAGCCATATTTCGAGAACTTTCTAAACGAATTTAAATATGTTTACACACACTTATGAAATTTGTTCTTCCAAAGATAATTCCATGAAAAAATAATTTTGAATAATTATTTATTATTTTTTATCATTTCATTTAGAAATAGTCCATGACATTTCAATAATGTAATTTTATATAACAAAATACAAAATTTGAACGAAATTGGTCGAATAATTTCTGAGAAATTGAATTTCAAAAACTATTTAAGCATTTCCACAAGAAAAAAGAATCGTCCAAGACACAATTTCTTTTTTACTGTACCTATATTTCAATAAGATATAATCTCACTTTGTTCTATTTTAATATTTGATAAAATAAATGTTTACTTCTAACCATAAAGTACAAATGTCAGCTAATACACTTTCAGAAAATAGACAATTCAAGTGATTTTCTTGACCTATGAATTTGAAATCGATATTTGGAGAAGATAACCCTGATAAACCTATGAAACAATCATTCACCATAAGAAAAGAAAATGCTTTTTTTTTCAATCCTTTTTTTTTTTGTTTTCCAAGGCAAGGACAAAGTGTACCTATAAGACAGATGCTACTTTCAGTATGTGCTGAAGCCTTTCAAAGGAGCTCAAAGAAGAAATAACAACCCGAAGAATGTGATTTTTCATCGTCCTAGTCTAACGCATGCAGTTTTCTTGTTTCTTGCTTTAGTTTATTCTTCTTAAAAATCAATGATTTTTTCCCGACAAAGATTTACAAAGAGCACAAGAATATATATATATATATTTTTGCGTTTGCTGACTCACGTCTTTTGATAAGTAAATAAAAATTGTCCTAACAGCATTAATTCTCATATTTTTATTTTAGATTGATGGCTTGGTCAAATTGTTTTACTTACTTAACATTTTGTCATTCAGTTTTGTTTTTAAACTCAAGAGGAACATTACATTGTCTAAAAAAGGAAACTATTTTAGCTGTTTTGAAGAGGAAACTATTTTAAAAGATAAAACAAGCATGCAAACAAACCATTTTTTTAATTCGATCATAAGATGAAAAATTTCCAAAATATCAAGTTTTTTTTCTTCTATTTTTTAATTTTTTATATGGAATAAAAAGTTATTACCTTGTCATGTGCAGAAATGTGATTTGAGTATTACACAAGAGACGATACGAATAATATGGACTGAAATTTTCAATGAGCAAACCATTTAAAAAATACAAATTGTCATATATATTTTAAAATCAGGCATATTTATTATCATAGTTGCTATCGCTCAGCGGAAAAGTATGGTTAAAAAATACCGGTATATGGAAAAATTTTCCACGTTTCTGGCTCTATGGAAACAACAAAAATTTAGATAGTTTTTCCTAAATGTCTTGGAAATGAATTTGGTAAAATTAACAATAAAATATTGCACGATTTTCACGATTTTGGTAAAATTAACTATATAAATTTGGTGAACGTGGTAATTTTATCATGACACCTTAGAGCATGGCTTGAAAACCATTTAATCAATTAAATTTACTTTTCAGTTTTTTTCAAATGTGTAGTAACATGAATTATATATTTAAGGAACAGAATTTACGATAAGCCGTTACCCATATGTACGGAAAAATTACAAATAAATGGTTTTTACCAAAAATGTATTTACAATACAGTACGATAATTCTACTGGAAATTATCACTGTAATTTTTTCCTCCACTTAGACACTACTACTTAAATAGTAATAAAATTAATAGTTTTGCCATGCACTATGCACATAGCTACTCGAAGCTTCAACAAACATTTAAATTTTTGCCTCAGAAATTAAAAAATCGATTTATTAATCAATTTTCTTTGATTCAAATTTTTCCTTGATTTATCTCTGCCCATACCTAATTGCTCACTTATTTTAAGATATTTTAGCTTTTTTCCTTCTTTTGCTTCATACTTGTTCGGGTATAGATGAAAAAGCCAAACGCTGTATCTCGAAATGTTATGTCGCTCATTAATTAAGATAAGATATAAAGGATGGCAAAGTGACTCAAAAATATAACAGATATCCGGAGTTGTAATAATATGAATAAAATGCGATTTTTAAATCACAGACAGATTATTTTTCTAAAGAGATTCGCAGGAATTGATGTACTTTGTGGAAAGTTAAAATGACAGTGTTATAGATGTAATTTTGATTTGCCACCTTCTGATAATATTATAATAATTAGCACAATTACTATTAGTCATAATTAGTCAACTGGGTAGAGAAAAAGATAGGTACTGCGCAAAGGCTATTGTTAATTTTATAATTTATTTTTTAATTAACAGTTATTAAACATTTCTGCGCAGATTTCAGCGCAATATTAATATTTCGAAGGGGAACTTTAACTTGAGGAATTTTTCTCTGAACGATATTTAAAGTAAAACTGATAGAAAAAAATTTAAATATCAAATAATCAATCAAATACCTTTTCCATCAGTTGTAAAAATGTATGTTTGAGATAAATTTGAAAATAAAATAGAAAATCAAATAAACTTCTTATGCACGGGGAAGAGTATTCTCGTAAAAACACTGTGCAGTATTTCTGGTTAGAAAAAAGTATAATTCTGGTTAATAAAAGCAAAATTAACGTAATTTATTCATATGGTAACGGTCTACTCGAAATTCTGGGTTTCAAAATTATAGTTCTTATTACTGCAAAAATACAAAACTGATGTAGTAAAAATAC